CTTCTGAAATTGTTCCGGGGTTGTGATCGAGTGGTTTTGGCCTTCATGACAGTTTTTGGGGTTGCGATCGAGTGCTTTGCTCTGTCAGGGCTCCGAGGTTGCGATCGAGTGCTTTGGCTGAAGGAGTGATTGAGCGTTCTGAATTTGTGTTCTGTTTCTCCTCTGTTTGAACTCCAAAAGCATCCAAAGTACCTGGAAACAACCAAATATGCAATGCACATGCAATCCTAATGCAAAAACATCCTAAGTATGCAAAACACACTAAAACGACTACTGATGAGATGAAATGTGATTGAAGCAATGACAAAGTGATGAAGAATGAATGCTTAAATCATGCAAATTATAGACATATCAATAACCATTGCCTAAGTATTCTGAGCGATAGTAAGGATGGGCCTTTGAAATCGTTGATACATGAGCCGAATCAGCTGCGGCTATCGCATGTATGCAAGGCAGTTTGTCGAGGTCAAACATACGACATGTACACTTCTTCTGTTTAAAATTAACAATATTCATAGACGCAAGACTCCTCACTTCGTATTGATGGGGATCAATCTCCTGAAAACTTAGCTTACTAGCGCGAGTCACTCGGGACTGTTAGAGGAAAGACACAGTAATTAAAATAGATGGATAAAAAAATAAAGGCTAACAATTTAAAATAAAGTAAGTTATGTGGAATGTAATACCTCTAGTGCTTTTTCAACTCCTTTAGTGAGAATAGTTGTCATAAGCGCAGCCTGTTTTCTCCTTGCAGCATACCATCGAGTTAACATCAATCTTATATCGTCTAGCAGTTCAACAATGGGATACCTTCTAGCAGGATTTAACACTTTGTATAATGATTCAGTAATGTTGCTTGTTGTGAAGTTGTACCTATCTCCTGGAAAGTGAACCCTACTCCACGTAGTTATGTCTGCCCGCACCAAATAGCTGTGCAGGTCTGGATACAAAGCTTTAATAATATCAAAAGTTGCATTGAAATCTACTAACCGATAAGCTGTAGGCCGCCTTCTTCACTAATCCAAATGTTTCACTTCCTCTAAATCTAAGCTTTATGTTTTTGTGTAGATGGTATGTGCAAATCCCTCGGCTAGCTTGTGGATATACAGTCCGTATAGCTTTTGCAATAGATTTATGCATATCCGAAATAATGGCTAGTCCATGATCATCTGGAATAACACAGCTTAGTTGTCTAAAGAACCATTCCCAGGATTCATCGTTCTCTGAATCAACAAAAGCAAACGCTAAGGGAAATATATTGAAATTTCCATCTTGTGTGGTTGCTAGTAACAAGGTCCCTAAATATTTCCCCTACAAAAATGTACCATCCACAACAATAACTTTCCTCATAAAAGTAAAGCCGTCAATGCTAGCACCAAATGAAATGAAAACATACTTGAATCTATCTAACTCATCTACTTCAAGCCTAGTAAGGCTCCCGGGGTTTGCTCTCCTAATCCTGTATAAGTATTCTGGAAGGTCTTGATACCCTGTTTCCAGACTACCTCTAACTAATTCACGTGCATACTTAAGTATACGATGAGCTTTCCAATATCCAGCCTAGTAAGATGAAAGTTTATGTCATATAGTTACCAAAGCCTTACGGGTGTGAGCACTTATATGGAAACCTAGTAAATAGACTTACCTTGATGCCATAACGCAGTTTCAACGCCTCAGAGACATGATTAGGGAGTACGCCTGGGCCTACACCACCAACGAAATTCTTGTAAAGTACTGCAAGTATATCCTTGGTTGCTTGTCTACAACGGGCGGATCGCTCTGTTACAGAACACGTATGCTGATTCACATAGACTTTGATGTGAAAATTCCCAGATGCATCAATCGGTGTAGCTCTAACTCTCCAAGTGCACCCTTTAACCCAACACTTTACAGCAAAAACCCACGGCGTAGACCGAGCAACGACGAAGTCAAATTTTTGTAAGACACTAATTATCTTTGTTCGAATCACCAATTGAAATTTCGATTCATATTTTTGCCCAACAGCGATAGCAACACTTCCACTAAGTAATTGCACATACTCTTTTGCAGTAATCGACACCCTCTTGCCAATTGGAACGATTTATTCACTTCTTTTTTTTGCACATCTACCATTTCTTCATCTTCTTCATCTTTAACCGCTACTTCCTCTGCATTCTCTTCTTCTTCAACTTCCAACTTTTCTGCATCAGCTTGATCTTCATCATCTGTTTCCTCATCAGATAACTTATAAGACATACCGTAATCTTCATCCCCAGAGCTTGCTCCATCACTATCATCGCAACAATCAAACCTGTAAATCTCGTCCTCATCCTCGTTTTTCTTTTCCTCTCCTTCTAGATAAGCTTCGCCGTCCATTGAACAAGTATAAATTGGTTGTTTCCCTGCTGCTTTACTCTTGTAATACTGCTCTTCGTTGGACTCTGTTTTCTCAGGTGATACATCCGGGTCAAAAATATATTTTTCAGTTTCATATTCTTCGATTTGGACACAGAGGCGCCCCACGAATTCGGAATTGCATTGCCGGATAAATCCTTCTAACTGGCGCCGGTTACATACAATAACCGGAGGAGTATCTTCTGGAATGACGATGAAGTTCATCGTATGCAATTTATAACTAAGCTTAACCTCATAAACCTTTCTATCAAACCTGAAATCCTCGTACACCATTGCCAAAAAATCATCAAACGAACTTCCTGCTTTCGCAGACAGTACCCTGCAACCTCTTCTTTCATCTACAATAAATGACCATTTGTTTTTTGCAAATTTCCACTTCCCACATACCAGTGGAATTTCTACCATCTTTCACTAGATGAAACAACAATAGATCTGTAATAAACAATACTTTTTTGCTAAAATGTTTGCTTCGGGGAACAAGACAGGTTTCCGGCGTAATAAATCGTTAATGTAAGGGTAAACAAGACTTTCGCTTTTGTTTATGTTCGCCCTCTTTAACACTAATCGATAACAATTTCTTACATATCTATCACCACATACATCCAGAAAAAACGCCCAAACGTGCTAGTTGAGTAAACTGTTACTCTGCCTCGTTATGACAGAGTTAAGAAATAACTCTGTCCAAATAATTAACTCTACCATGTTGTAACAGACTTTTTACGGTTTCTGTGTCATATAACTCTAAATCGCTCTTTTAGTCTACCACCATAACATAAAACTCTCCCTCACAAATATATTATTTTACAATGTCACATAACTCTACCACCACATAAAATTAAATCTATCACGGTGTTATATGAGTAAACGTAAAGTCATCATAATCTGTCAAATGACTCTATGAAACAAATAACTCTGCTACCATGTAAAATATCTCTATCCGTAAACTCTATCAATTATTAACTCTATGATATTAATCTAACTGAAAAATATAGTTTTTTTTATTTCTATCGATTAAATCTAATAATTTAATTAACTCTGCCGTCCCTACAGCGACAGACTTTTGTCGGCGCGGGACATTTTCGCGGATAAAATTCACCTTCTTTCACTGACGTGGCATCATCTTTTAATGGCAGATTCTTAATTACGTTTCCCACACAACATCAGACGAGGGCAATTCTGCCTTTAACGAGCGACAAATCGTACGCTCCATATGGGTAATTAATGCCCTTTTGTGCTTTTTGAGTAGCTCACCCTTTCTTTTTTGTGTATCTCATTATTTTTTTTAACAAAGGCTTTCAATTAAGGTAAAAACCAAGTACAGGAGAAGAAGGAATTAGAGATCCAAATGTTTACATTACAACCATAAAAGACATTCCCCAAAGCCAACATAAGATAGATAAAAGGATAGATAAGGTTAATCGACAAGAGTTTCTTGAGAGTTTTGAACTAAAAGTTATGAAGCTTTTTGGTACATGTGAGATCAAAGATTCGAAAATTCTTCCAAAGACGAGTGATACGATCCTTCCAAGGACTCGGCACTCTAGAATTGGTAGATGGATATTCCTTAGGTTCAAAGGGTGATGAAACCACAAAGAACAAGGATGGTGGAGTGAATTGTCGCACAAGAGTTGCAAAAGACTCTTGATATTCTGGTTGATCTCTTGGATATGACGCACCAAGACGGATCGGTGACTCCATGGACATGTCCACACAGAATGTTGCATCTTGCCTGAAAACCCCAAGACAAAATATTTCAATGAAAACTAAGAAGAGCATGAGCCGAGCTCAGTCTGACCAGCAAAGAAACTAACAAACCTTTGTTATATGACGTCATAAGAGGTAGACGGTCACTTGTCCAAATTGTTCTCTCATCGTAGTCCTTCATTATGTTCAACTTCCCCCTCTCTTCTTGAAAGTCGCCTAGTGCAAGAGAGATGTTCTGTGAGGAATTTAATCAAACACCTTCTGTGCTAGATGTAAAGGAAAATCTCTAGGACGGAGCTCTGCGTTTAAGAAAAAAAAAGTTTTAAAATTGGGAAAGAAATAAAACTTGAAGGCCCAAAATGAAATAAAACTAAAATATTTCGCTCAACTTGAAGGCCCAAATCGAGTACTATTCATAGGCTCAAGTGGGCCCACTAAGATGTGTTAATTTCAGAAATCGAGTACTATTGAATCGCTTCGTTTCCTCAGTATCTCGACATTTCGATTTCGCATCTGGTGACTTCGTTTCCTCAGGTAGATATCCGCATCTGGTGACTTCGTTTCCTCAGGTAGATATCCGCATCTGGTGACTTCGTTTCCTCAGGTAGATATCCAAATTGCTTGCTTCACTTTCGATTTCGCATCCTTGCTTCAGTATTAATCTCGACATCTTAGCTTTAGTGTTGATATCCAAATTGCAAAATTTGTTTACTCTCTGTATCTAATTTATCATTTTTAAGTGCATGCTTGTTAGAGAATTTGAATCATGAATGACTGATCCTCGATCAGTACCAAATGTTTGCATATACATCTGAGATCTCACACTTGAGGATCACCTTCAATCCAGTGCCCTCGGCTGTCCTGAGCATTCCAGTAAATGATATATATATATATATGTATCAAATTGAAGCGTATATGAGAAATCAAACATCTGATAAAACGTATTACAATGAAAGCTTATCAAATTTATAATTTTTTTTATAACAGAATCTTATAAAATCTTATACTAAACCCTTCAGACGAACTGACGAAGCGTTAAGCGTTATAAAAGCTTATAAAAGCTTATACTGAACCCTTTAGAAGAAGATACGTTTGGATATTTACATAGGCTAATGATGTGTGTTGCTATCTGTATCTAATTTGTCAGTTTTAAGAATTCTCTGAAAGCTGGTAATTCTCTGAAAGCTTTTTATGTTGTATATTGATTGTATATTGATTTTTATGTAGGAACACTTGCTTTAAACACCATCAGTTTCAAAACGCTTGAAATGAAAATGCATATGCAGACGTTTCTGGCTTGGAAATTGGACCCAAGAGTGTCTGAGCTTGTGGAATCCACATGTTTTCGGTGGTTTTTGAAACTCAAAAATGATCTTTATAGGCAAGATAGTAATCTTCTTACTGCCCTTGCCTTGATGTATGATGAGAGTAAAGATCATTTCGTCATTGGGAATCCTAAGATGGATATCGATTTTGGTCTAGAAGACGTTTTATATATTACAGGTCTTCCAATTGATGGAGAACATGTATTTATCTTTTCTTTTACTTCAACATATCTTTAGTTTTAGTTATTCGATTTCTAATGCCCAATTTGAATACAGGTTTCAGGATTAGAGAGTGAAAACATCACGAATACAATCATGCATCATTTTCAGATAACTAAAGAGAGGGCTAAGTCATTAATGAAGAATTCCGGTATTGATCTCTCAAGATTGAAGCTGGAATTTGAGATGGTACCACAAGGGAATGAGGTTGACTTAGAGCCTTATTTCAAGGCTTATCTCCTCTTCTTGTTGGGAGAAGTCATTCTCCCAAACAACAGCAGCTCTTTTTCTCCCATGTACCTACCTCTTCTTGGATTGAATGATGTCAACCACTATGCTTGGGGGGCAGCTATGTTGGCGAATATGAAAGAAGCTCTAGAAAAAGTGAAGACAGCTGAGAAATTCACAAGCTTATGTGGTTTCTCGTACGCTCTCACGGTAAGTTCTTTAAAAAACAAAAGGTAATTAATATGATTCATAATAAATCAATGATGTACAATGACAATTATTGTTCTTTATCTTTTTCTTATAGGTTTTTGCATTAGAGCGGTTTCCAGACCTTAGAGAAAGATGTGGATCATCACCTCTACCATCCAGATTTCCTTGATTTTGGGGTGGATGGAGGCGTTGAGTAAACCGAATAAAGACACGAAGAACGTAACGTCTGTGGAAGACTACCAAAAGAAGAATTCAAGAGATGAAAGAAAAAGACGTAAGACCTTAAACTCTTGTTTTTGTTTTTAAATACATATAAATTGAATATATATCGTTATAAATTGAATATATATCGGTTTTAACTAAATAGTTTACTAAATAATTTCATAGGTGGTGTGGCAGCCTTATAAAAATCGTGACCTTAAACTGTCGCAGAAGTATGCATCTCAGTTACCTATGGTCTTTTCACGCACACCATGTTCGTGCTTTAATGAAGGTGCGTATAATCGTCCAGATGTGTGTTTTAAGCAATTAGGATTGGAGAAGTCGCAAGTCAAAACATTGTGGCCAAAGATTAAGAAAGGGACGAAATTGAAACTGAGCAAACATAAAGACAAAAATTGGAAATCTGTCAGACCTTACTACAAATTCGTGACTGAGCAGTGGACTAAGTGATATGAAAATTTTATCTATGAAATTGCTCGAGATGGGGTGACGAGTGTTCCTGAGGTGAGTTGATTATTTAAGTTGATTTTTTTGGTTCTCTTTGTGTACTTCGTATTATTGTCTTTGTCTCCGTAATAACAAAGTTTTATTAGGGAGGAAGAGTTGCAAGTGGTGGATATTCTACTTGTCATTCTTTTCAAATTGAACCTGAGAGGCCTTATTTGGTCAAAGAGTATGAAGAGGCACATAGCAGTGAAATGGAACGGGAGCTGCCGGAGGCGAGAGATACTCCCTCAACTCAGGTGACGTTTATTCTCTTTTTTTTAGCACAAATGAACTTTGAACTCCCCTTGGTTTGATGTGCATTATGTGCTCTCTCAAATCCGAACAGTTTGGTTATCCGCTCATTGCCTTATTTAATTGTTTACCTCTAATTTTACTCTGATTTGATTGTGGAGAATTAGGTTGAAAGACTTGAAGAGAATCAGGTTACGACTGTCCCTCCTCTGAGTGTTCAAGCAACAAAGGACTACGAAACTATGGAGCGAGAGCGACCGGAGGTGACAGATACTCCCTCCACTCAGGTGACGTTTATTCTCTTTTTTTTAGCACAAATGAACTTTGAACTCCCCTTGATTTGATGTGCGTTATGTGGTCTCTCAAATCCGAACAGTTTGAGGACTACGAAACTATGGAGTGTGAGCTACCGGAGGTGACAGATACTCCCTCCACTCAGGTGACGTTTATTCTCTTTTTTTTAGCACAAATGAACTTTGAACTCCCCTTGGTTTCAGACGAACTGACGAAGCGTTAAGCGTTATAAAAGCTTATAAACCCTTCAGAAGAAGCGTTATAAAAGCTTAAGTTTGATAAGCTAATTTTTGCTTATAAGTTTGATAAGCTAATTTTACTCTGATTTGATTGTGGAGAATTAGGTTGAAGGTAGATTTAGCGAGAATCAGGTTGAAGGTGGATTTAGCGAGAATCAGGTTACGACTGTCCCTCCTCGGAGTGTTCAAGCAATAGAGGACTACGAAATTGTGGTGCGGGAGCTGCCGGAGGTGAGAGATACTCCCTCCACTCAGGTGAACTTTGAACTCCCCTTGGTTTGATGTGCATTATGTGGTCTCTCAAATCCGAACAGTTTGGTTATTGCTCATTGCCTTATTTAATTGTTTACCTCTAATTTTACTCTGATTTGATTGTGGAGAATCAGGTTGAAAGACTTGAAGAGAATCAGGTTACGAATGTCACTCCTCAGAGTGATCAAGCAAGTAAAGGAAGAGGAAAAAGGATAAAGAAGCCAAGTGTATTACTTCAAGATTTTGTCCTTCTAACACCTGGCGTGACTGTCAAGAAAGTGACTCGCAAGAAAGTGACTCGCAAGAAAGTGACTCGCAAGTAAGTGACTGGCAAGAAAGTGATAAATGTGGATGAAGCTCAATCTTCGATGGTGGTGGAGCAATCAGTTGAACTGCCTCCTGGGTAAAATTGACTTGTTTTCTGTTTAGCCTCATTAAGTTACATTTCTGGCTGTATATAACTTAATATTTGATGAAACTTTCATTTATCTATTCCGTGTCAGTGATAAGCCCCTTACAGTATATTCAAGGAAGAAGAAGAAGAGTTCAGTTAAAGAGAGGGAACAATAAACGGATTTTGATGTGTTATAACAATGGTGTTGATGACTCTTGCTTTAAAGTTTGTGTTTCTGAGTGGATTCTAGTTGATTATGTGTCTCTAGTTGATAACATCAAACTTTTATTCCATGAATGCTATATGAACTTGCTATCTCAAATCCCTCTCATATCCCTTAACCACAACTTGAAATATCTTAATTAAACTTCATTAGTCTAAACATGACAATACAATACAAGTACAACTGAGTGGATTCTAGTTGATTATGTGTCTCTAGTTGATAACGTCAAACTTTTATTCCATGAATGCTATATGAACTTGTTATCTCAAATCCCTCTCATATCCCTTAACCACAACTTGAAATATCTTAATTAAACTTCATTAGTCTAAACATGACAATACAATACAAGTAGTCCCAGTAAGCTCTTCTTCCTCAGGCCGATGCCGAGTAATCGCCTGGAATGCATAAACATCAATGTTTTTTTATCGTTTTCATGAAAATTATATAAAAAAAAACCAAAACTTGACTGGTAGAGATTAAAAACCAAATCAGAAAACAATAACAATTCTTCGAATGCAAAGTAAAACCATAACAATCATCTAATGCAATATTATGCAAATTAAACAATGTATAAGAACAAAACTATGAACTTAAGGACATTAAGATTGTGAGAATAGACCGTTCAAACAGTAGCAAAAGACTAATCCGGAAAAAAAACTTCAACCTGAAGATAAATAATGTTGAAGAGTATGAAAAATCCATAAAACCAGTTTCAAGAGCATGGGAAGTATAAAGAATAAACACTAATTCCAAACATTTCGATTCCATAAAACCAGCTTTAAGCTCACCCAACGCATGAACCTTGACAAAGCTTGAGAATTTGGTACCAAATAAAGCTTGAGAATTTGTTCCAAAGTTTAAAACTTTATTCTCTGCAAAATCGCCCACAAAGAAAACAGAGAAAAAACATCAATAAACAAAGAGATAATATCACATTGATAAAGTCAGAAAAGAAGTGAAGCCACCAAACTTAAATACCAAAACACGATTCAACCCCTCAAAAACCTAAGCGTAGTGTTATTCTGCACTATCCCCGAAAACCTAAGCGTAGAGCAACCATCCTTGAAGTACTCTGCAATTGCCATGTTGTGACGAACCTGCTTGAACAATTAAAAACAACTCATAACCCATGGTTTTATTTTTTTTAAAACATTAATAAAGTCGAATGATATAATGCTACAAGCATTATTGTTATGATATAAGCATTAGTATTTCACAACTATTTGAAAAGTAGTTCTAAATCTACTGAAAATGTTCATTCACCACATGACTTGTATTACCAAAATCTCTGGTTTAACTCACGATTTCATTCAATTCGGTGCTAAGTAATCAAAGTACCCAAATCACTGAAAAAATGAAGGCTTTGCTATGAAAATCTAATGAACACAAAGCTAAAAAAAGCCTATTTCTTACTTCACAATTGAGTAAAATCTAATTAAACATTCAATACTGAAACATAAAGAAGTACTTTATATAAGTCAGATCGAAACTTAGTAAAATGTAAAGAATCTGAGATGAGAGAGCTCACCGTTTTACTGAGATATAAGTTGCTAAATCTTTGGAGATGGCTTAGATTTGTCCAGTTGCGTGTCTGAAGTTCTTGTTTCCTTCTTCACCAAACTTCCAATACTCTGGCTCATGGTATTTGACTCCTCTACAACACAATATCCAAAAAGAAAAGTCAAAGATCTGTGTAACAACATGAGCTTGTGATAATTGTGTTGCTTACTTTTGAGCAAGGACAGGTCCAGACTTCATGCAACCAATGTACACTCACGGTTTTGATCTGTGGCGAGCCAAAGTAGAACCAAGCATTCCTGGATGATAACTAAAGTTTCAGTAAGCTTTTCTTGGAAGAGTATTAATATGCTTTGAAAGACATGAACATACCGAGATTTACGTGAACATCATCATCCACTTTGATGTAGAAGTCTGCATCCCATTTTGCAACAGCAGATGAGAAATATATTTGAGTTTTCGATGATAATTCATGATAACCTTCTCTCTTATTCTGCAAGAATTTAACTTTCATCATCAAACAAAAAAAAAAACCAAAGAAAGTAAGAAACTATAACCACGTGGGCGGGCGAAACATTTACCAGACAGAAGAAGTCATTGTGTTGTTGTTCTTTAGCTTCAATGGTGTGGTCCAAGACTCCTCCATGAGAAGAACTATTAGGAACAATTGACAATATCATATAACAACCAATATTTAGTCAATGTTTGAAACCAAAGACAACGTCAAATCTTACCTGTGACCTATGACAAACCGCATTATGATTCCCTTCTCGGTCTCTAATCTTTTCAATTCATCCCCTGCAAAGGAATGAACAAAGCAAACATCTTTTAAGACTTTTTGTCACATCTGCTATGGAGAAAGAAAGAGGTGGTTTGTTCTTGTTGAACCTTTAGGAAACAATTTACACATATCACCACAAAAATTAACAACGAAACTAACTTTAACCTCTCAATTGATAAACCTCATCACCCAACTTCTAACATAGCCATGTTCATCAAAGTGACATGGAGAAATAACATGAAGTGGTAATATGCAATAACATGAAGAAATTTGTGGAAGACAGTGTTTGGAAAGTGTCTACGGACCAATTGCTTCATTCTCACATACCATTTTTTTTTAAACTTATATTAATTAGACAACCTTGGCATGTTACAAGTCTGCAAGAGTTACAAAAAGAGGCAAATCGGAAAAACTATGCATCTCACAGACCATTTCCTTCATTCCCACCGACCATTCCTCATCTAAGCTCCACTCCCTAACTAATACAAAATATACCACTTAGATTGTTTTGGCTTTTTACCCTACAAAAAACGTTGGAGAATGTTTGGGCACCAAATACTACATTAACAAATCAGACTTGTTTTGACATGATGTAAAACAAGGAAGGTTTCCTCTTAGCCCTGAACTTCTTGTGCTCATATTCAACGATTGCACACATCCTAAATAAAGCCCGTTCAATTTCTCCCATATCCGGAGTATTTCTAAGCTTCTCATCAAACCAATCCTCGAAGTCATCTTCCTTCCCCTCGAACTCATCTTCATTCCCCTCGAATTAAATGACATTACATAAAATACATATAACCAACAACAATTAAATATACTACTTTCACAATCATAGTTCTTTCGTGTAACCAACAACAATTAAATAAATAGATTTGGCCTAATGCAAAAATACATATACATGGAAAGTTAAGTACACAATTTTAAAAATAGCTATCGGAAAAAGTTAGAAACGCCAAATATTTTGCAACATAACAATGACTCATAAAATCATTTTTGGAGAATTTTAACCAGAGACCATCAATATTTGGACTTGTCAACATGGATTGACTCAGAATCAGAAAATTGTACTAAGTAAATCAAGTCTATATAAAGATTGACTCAGAATTAGAAAATTGGACTAAGTAAATCTTTTTTTTTTTTTTTGGGCAAAGGACTAAGTAAATCATGTCTATATAGAGATACGTTTTGCTAAAAATATATATAAAGGTACGTTATGCACGGATGGAAAGTGAAAATCTGTCTTCTGCAGAATTAATTGTACAAGTGAAAATTCTCTTCTACATATATATATATATATATATATATATATATATATATATATATATATATATATGTGAAAATTGCTAAAAATATATATAAAGGTACTATTATTATTATATATAATCATCATTATGAACAATATTTTCATATTATCATCATTATTATGTCATCATCATTTCCGCCAAAAAATATTATTTCACATTTTTTTCGTCTAAAAAACGGTTTCACAATTTTCCCGCCAAAAATGCGTTTTCACAAATTTTCCCGCCAAAAACATGTTTTCACAAAATTTCCCGCCAAAAATACGGTTTTCACAAATTTGTTATGTCTATCTCCAAGGATGTATCTAGCTTTTTTAGTGAACGATCAAGGAATTATGATTATTAAGTAGCTTTATTGCATTACCAGTATCGTGTGTGGCACTGGCTGTTAGTTATTTGTAGTTAGGACATATGCAAGGGTGCATCTTTGAAGTTTGATCTTAAGGGAGAAAAAATATTAAAATATTGTAAGAGCTTTAATTAAGATCTTTTGTAAAGTAAGTGATTATTGGTAGAACATGTTTAGATCATAGGAATTGATTTGAAATTGAAATAATGTAAGATCATTAGTTTACAATTTTAAAAACTTTAAGAAATAACTTTTAAATTGCAAACTTAAAAAACTTATACTAAAATAGATTTGAAAATAAAAAGAAACACAAAATATAATATCAAATTTTTATGAAACAAAAAAGAACATTAAAGATATAAATAAAAAAAACAAACAACAAACATATTATTTAATTAAACCTACGACAGATTTCGGATCGAAGGAGAAATGAAATGTTTTTTTCCTTTGCAAAATTCGTAGCCAATAATGAAGCGCCACGTCACGCTAAAACTGGGCCAAGAACAGTTCTACAACAAGAACAGATCTACAACAGATCTAACACTATTCACAATATTTTCTATTTTTAAAAGGCTAAGAAACCTAAGTGTTCTCCCTTTAAATATGGCCTTAGAGGAACTCAAGTTCTTGTACTTGTATTGTATTTTCATGTTTAGACTAATGAAGTTTAATTAAGATATTTCAAGTTGTGGTTAAGGGATATGAGAGGGATTTGAGATAACAAGTTCATATTGCATTCATGGAATAAAAGTTTGATGTTATCAACTAGAGACACATAATCAACTAGAATCCACTCAGAAACACAAACTTTAAAGCAAGAACAATAGTAATTGTTTACAAAAGTTTAACATGCATTAGAAAATGATTAAACCACACCCAACTTTCAAACACTTCCTACACATTCTTCATAGAGATCAATAGCGAATCGCATCCTCATCTCGTCCACCTTCGCATCTGTCAGTTCGTCCAACCCCATTCCTTGTGCGTGTAGTTCAATAAACTTAACCGTTAATGGGCCACAGTCTCCGGTGCGTTTATTCTGGTGCACATTTACAAGTCTTTCATAGGTGAACGTTTCAGGGAGCGTGCAATCAATACCATATGTCTCAGCAAATTCCTTGATAATGACTGGGAGAATTTCCACCAGAGGTTTCAAAAGCCGCGGTAGTTTCTTGGCGTCATTGGAACTGATTAGGGGATCCAGGATTAAAACTTTCCAAATCTTCAGCTGTATCACAGCACCAACCCAGTGCCTCTTTCCCCAATTCAAAGGGACATAGACAGTGTCTATATCAGTATACCAGGCCATTTTCGACGATCGGTTTGGGACTATTCCTCTCATGTAGTTCTTTATCAGCTTGTTCCATTGAAACGGATCCTTCTGCTTTTTCCCACCCTTTTTCTTCTTCAGCTTTTGGGTAAGTGAAAAGTCATCATCAA